TAGACAAAATTCTGATGTGGTCTTGTTTTGTCTTACTCTGCCATGGCCTCTGAGTGATGTCTAATATCATCACGCTTGTCTTAATGTCCAACAGGAGGCAACAGGACTCCGTGATGTGTGCATTAAGCCGGCTCCTAATAACTCTAGGATCTATCTGCAGGTGACAGCCAAGATGTCAGCGGCTGCTCTTCTCTTCCCAAGTTCTTAGTTCTATCAACATTTTGAAGTAGAGATTTAAATTGTTTTTATTTGTGGGGTTTTTTTTGTTTTTGTTTTTGTTTTTTTTTTGCCAGAGTACAGATTACGAAGAGTAAGGCAGGTCTCCATAAATGAAGATACATCTGATTGAACAAGACTTCCTTTGTTTCTTCCTTTTTGGGTCTAGATGATAAAAAACAGGCACTACATTTTGGAGTATGACACAGGAAGGGTGTCACAGGATTGGGAATCAGAGATATATACTTACACAATCTATACCTCTCATACACAATCCGTACCTCTCATAAACAGGAAGCTGGAGATCACAGCATGTCAATATAAGAACTGTCTTCATCCCAGTAAACCAGAGGAAGTTCCCTGGCAAATAAAGATAAAAGTTGCCTGCTGTACTTTTCCCAGAATCTGAATATATCCAGACACTCATTAGTGAGCTAAATGACTTCCTATCTTCATTGGTGTGTTAATTTTCTTGTTGCTGTTCAATTACTATGAGTATCCTTACCATTAGGTCTTATCTTTATTCTGCTTCCAGGCAGTGCTGTCTGAGTACCAATGTGGTCAAGCCTGGACATCACAACAGGAAGCAACACCAGCTGTGTCTCACAAGCCACACAGCAGAAATGCAGCCCACAGGCGAGGCAAATGTAGAAAATAGAAACAAAATAGTATCTGAGTCCATTTGGCCAACACCCTGCCAGGTCCAGGAGCCTATTTGACTGACATTGAGTCATGAGAGATAATATTCTTAAAATTTTAATTTGATGCATATATTTGCATGCAAACTACTCTAATGCCTTGTAGCTTCAGTTCTTTAAGACAGGTCCCCCTGCAGAGGTGGGGCTGGCAAGCAAGCGAGTGGAGAGTGCTCGCTCACGTGCATCCGGAGGCTAAACCAGTCAAAAGAAAGCTGAACCTGGTCCCTCCAGTCAGCCACTGCATCTGATACTGGGTATCTGCAGCACTGACTCTAAAACAGCATCTAAAAGATGCCACCATTGTACTGAGTCACAAGATGCCAGGGTTCTACCTGCAATGGCCACAGTGTGCCCTTGACATGTTCACATCTAATACATGCAGCATTTCCAAGACCTCACTTCTCCAGCCTCTGGGAGATTTCAGTTTGCAATTTTTTTTTTTTAAGAACAAGTGCCCTGTCACTTAAAACTGTCACTGGGAGATGACATTTCAGCAATTACTCAGCAGTGGCATTTTGCTATTTAGTATTAAAACGCCGTCAGAAACACTGGGAAATGTAAGCTGAAACCGAAGCTTGAACAGAGAGCACCTGACACACCTGATTTGCAGTAATCCGAATAGCATAGTTGGTTTTTGGTTTTTGTTGTTTTTTTCAGATAAGAACTAGTTGCCAATCTGGTATGATTTCAATCTGCTGTCACTTATGAAACAGGATCTGTTTGCTCTCTGTAAAGATGATCCAGCCCACTGCTCTGCAGCCAGACACCCAATTTCACCCACTCTTACAAGATTCAACTATTACACAAACGAGTGGTAAAGCAATTACAAGCTCCAAAAAAATAAAAAGAAATTTCCCATTCACAGACTTGTCATATTCACTTTCTCAAATGTAATTCCTGCCAGATGTTTAAAGGCCTTTTTTAATTTCACAGAAAGTCACTCAACCACCTGAAAGATTATTCCCTCTGGAAGCAATTGGATGTCCCAAATTCGGTGACCAGGCTCTCTTGGGATCAATTCTAGGACCACACTGCAGAGTACATAACAAATGAAGGTATTGTGGAGTAGAAGATATGTTTTCTGTGGGTTTTAAGGCTCTTTAGGGATAGTGCTAGACCACAGGTGACTACCAATCTAAATGTGGACACAGATGAAGCCTTAACAGAGAACAGAGGGGAAAGCAAAATGTAAATGGGTGATGACTCAGTCCACTATGCCTCAAAAGATGTCATTGGAATCCTCACACACATACACAGAGAGAGACAGAGACAGAAACAGACAGAGACAAATAACTATAGTCCACTTAAAATTTGGAAAGGTTGAAAGGGTAGCTAGCTCTTAATGCCACACAAGCAGAGGAGCTACACTGAATCTCTCCCTCATGCTTCCTACCCAAGGAGGAAACTGAGGCCCAGGGATGCTCTATAAATGTCTTATATTCATAGTGAATAGATCAGAGGTATGGCCTTTCCATGGCTGCCAACTGCATTTCTCAGAGTAGAAAGAGAAACACTGAGTGATGTATGTTGCATGTTTCTGCTTAGGATAATCTCTCTCTCTCTCTCTCTCTCTCTCTCTCTCTCTCTCTCTCTCTCTCTCTCACGCACGCACGCGCAGGCACGCGCACGCACATACACAGAGAGAGACAGAGACAGAAACAGACAGAGACAAATAACTATAGTTCACTTAAAATTTTTTAAAGTACTAAATATGTTTAAGACAGGAGTTCAAAAGAGAAAATGACTTTTTCTGGTCTGTCCTGCTTGGGTCTTCTCTGTGAGGCTTGTAGGAAAAGAGAGCTCTCACAGGCAGGTAATAGAATATGGAGAAGTTCCTAACAGCAAAAGTTCACTTCCAGTTGCCACTGAGGGGAGCGACCCCATGTGCTGTGACATCTCCAGAGCTTGGGCATGGTGAGTCCTAGTTGTACTAGGTGTGAGGCGTGGTTCTGTCCAGTATGATGGCACCTTGTTCAGTCTGCACACACCAAACTGTCCTAAGGGTATGCTTACCAGGTAGGGAATAGTACAGCCCTGTTCTGCCTCCTTCCCCAGCATGCATCTCTGCCACACATGGGCTTGGGTTCCCACACATGAAAAACAGGCCCAACATGTTACCATGTCAACCAAGACTCCCATGGAGGTAGATGACAAAGACTCAGAAAAGACAGGGACATCACACAGGGAACTGAGGATACTTCACTTCAAGGTTTACAGAAAATCCCCATTATTACTGTGATCATTAATTGTGCCTATCTAGTTAGGTAGATGATGGTATCCAGATTTTTCCTCTACATACACGTGGCCTTGAAGGCATTTTCTCTTAGATGGCATTAAAATTTACAACAGTAGTCTCTGAGTAAAGCAGATGACAATGCAATGGAGTGAGGAATCAGCCCAGCTCTTGGAGACCTAAAGAGCAAAGACTTGGGTTATTGCAGATGAAGGATTTTAGCTTCAAAGCACAACACAGACGTCATGCTGGTTTTGCAGCCTGCCAGCTTCCCCTACGGATTTTGGACTTGCCAGTCCCCACAATTGTATGAGCCAGTTACTTAAAATAACCTTATGTGTGGTGTGTGTGTGTGTGTGTGTGTGTGTGTGTGTGTGTGTGTGTGTGTGTGTGTGTGTGTCCTGCTTCTCTGGAGACTCCTAACGCTGTTACCAAGCAGATTAAACAGCCCCTTCTCTGTATTGCAGAACATGGAAGAAAGAACTTGGCAAAATATCAGCTGCTTAGAAAAATCAGAGAATTAAGAGTCTATATGTAAAAAGCTTTTCATCGCCTTTTGAAAGCTTAGCTGCATTTCCCACTAACTCTTTTAATTGATTTCTGAATCTGAGACGTGGCCTTTGGAAGTTCTGAACTAGGCACTGGGGCCTTAGTGCCAGAAGCACTGAGGTTGGAGTCTGGCTCAGGCTCTCTAATGAGTCTGAGACCACAGGTAGAAAGTGAATCTACAGCAGTATTCCAGGTAAATGTAGCCCTGAAAAGTCCAAAGATGTGACATATCCAGCTAAGAACCTAGGAAGATTGTCACCCACTCAGCAATGGCTCAGCGGTACAGTTGTTGATTCAAAATCTCTTTAAACACATATACACCTTTCTCTTAGTCCTTGGGGCAGAGTGACACCTATCACCATCATTAGCATATTACCTGTCCCTGAAAGATGGGAGAAACATCCTAAGTAGTGCATTGTGCAAGCGTCACTGAGAGTGTTCTCACACATGCTAAGGTATCTAGGATGTCCACAGGCTATTCAACCCTATGGACCAGCAATGTATATATGGTATGTTGTAACAAAACATCCCTATGAGGTATGTGACTGTGTTACACTGTAAAGATGATGAAAGTGATATTGTGGATGAGTTCTGGAACTTAGAGGAGGGAAACTCAGGCCCTGAAGAGAGATGGAGTAACAAAGCAGGCATCCCAGTACTAGAGCACAGTCACGGATCAGTGAAAGCAGGTACTGGTTAGCCACACTGACTGACCCGGGTCACATGTGGGGAGAAGTAATGCAAGGATAGAGACATTGGCATAATGGAAATGAGAGAAAGGAGAGAGCTGCCCACATGTTCTTTGCAGACAACCAGTAGATAAGAAAGACACCAATGAGGACGAGTCATCACTCTGACTTCTGGGTTTCCAAACCTCCACAATTTAAATATCAGTATCATGAATGCAAAGTATTTTTGGGAAATAAATGATGAAGCTATTGAACGTTTACTGAGGAAGTTGAGTATAACATGCTATGCACGGAATAAGAATGTTAATAAACTGTGGTGATAAGTGGACTGCATTGTGCACTGGACACTAAAATTGTGTTAGAGATTCCATCGTTTTTTAAATTTCTCCATCCTGCTTTCTTGTACTTTCCAATTGTCTCACAATGAACATGAATAGCCCATGGGTAAAAGAAAAGACATGTTTAAAGCTCTACCTAGAGTAGGTCTGACGAGTAGGTGTGCACAAACCAGTGGGATTCACTTCTATGCATGTCACACTCTGGGTGTCTTTTGCTCAGATGCACAGACAAACAAGTGGTCTAGGAAAAGCTTCGCTGTCTACACGGAGAACCAACCTGGATCACAGAGGCACTTGTAGCTGGTGCCCACGCTGCGGCATGTGCCATGAGCACATGGGCTGAGGGCACAGAAGTCCACAAGCTGGGCACACGTCGGCCCTGTGAAGCCTGGGCTGCAGCTGCAGGTGAAGGTCACGCCATCCACATAGCAGGAACCATTGTTCTGACATGGAGACGACATGCAAGGGTCTACCTTCTCTTCACAAGCAGCGCCAAAGTATCCTGCAAGAAAGCATAGAAGGGCTTTGAACTCTTAAAGCAGGGCTGGAGGTATAGCTTAGTGGGTAAACTGCCTAGCAAGGACTAAGCCCCAAGTTCAATCCTCAGCACTATGTAAACTAATCATAATGGCTCAAGCCCTATAATCCCAGTGCTAGGGAGGCAGAGGCAAAAGCTTCAGAGGTTCAAGGCCATCCTCAGATACATAGCAAGTTTGGGAACACATAGGATATATGAGACCTTGTCTCAAAGAGTAAAAATATTAAAAAATCAGAACGTGTTTGCATACAATCACTAATTCAGATAGGTCACAACCCACTAAGACCTATTAGATTGTTTATCATAGATTTGGTAACCCTATGTTAAAATATCAAATCCTGTGTTTCTACACTTATTGAAACACAAGATATAAACACAAAAAATTGCTTGGATGTACATCATATGTGTAGTATATGTGCACATGACATGTGTCTAGTTATATGTATGTGTGTATGTATAATCTAAAATATGCCAAAAATAAGTAGACAATGATTACCTAAAAGTATAAGATATAACACTAAGTGTAAAAGAGAGAAGACATGTAAAATAGTAAATAATGAAGACATCTCACCCATACTTATCATTTGTCTTCTATCCAATTTCTTGAAAACAAATAATACATTTAAGTGTATAATTTCTAGATTATAATTCATTCTTCCAAAATGTACAAGTCAGTGTTTTTAATAAATGTATTCAGGTGTTCAACCCAATGGATAATATATATATTTTAAATGTTGATTCTGATGATGGGTAAACAAACATGGTACATCTACCCTTACAGTGCAACGCCATTTGGAAATAGTTATTAAGCACCAACATAAGCCACAAGATTAGTGAGTCACCAAAGCATGACACTCTAAGAACAAAGACATGTTCAGAAGATCATATATCAGAAGACTATATATCACATCATGTCACTTAGTAGAAATGTCCAGAAAAAGAACACATGAAAATATAGAAAGCAGGGGGCTGGAGAGACGGCTCAGTGGTTAAGAGCACTGACTGTTCTTCCAGAGGACCCTGGTTCAATTATCAGCACCCACATGGCAGCTCACAACTATCTGTAACTCCAAGATCTGACACCCTCACACAGGCAAAACATTAATGCACATAAAACAAAAACAGATTATTTTTTTAAGTAAATATAGAAAGTAGATGTATGATTGCTGTGGCTGGGGTATAAAGAGAGATTTAGGACAACAGATATGGGTAGTTCACTGGATTGAAGGAAATGTTTAAAAATGATCCATGTGAATAGTTTCACACCTATGTGGATTTACTAAAATTGCTGAATTGTGCACTTTAAAAAATTGAATTATTATATAGAAATTATACATGGAAGCATATTTTATGATATAATATTATGTAAAGCTGTTACATATTTTAATTTTAAATGAGATTATCAGATAAGTGAGGTAAGTGTTTTTTATTGTTTTGTATATACAAAATTTGGCATTTCTCAGGCCAACAAAATTACATATACATATATATGATATATATGTGCATGTGTGTATGTATGTATATATGTATATATATATATATAATATATGTATGTGTCTGCACATCTCTTCATCCACACAGGAGTGTATATTTAACAGTGTTATGAATGTAAGCTTCTTTTAACACTTTAAGACTAATTTGAAATTTTATTAAATATTTAAATTTTAAAAATTAAAGCTAAATAACATTATTCATGCATACTTTTCCTTTGATACTCTATTTTTCTCATCTGTTTTAGTTTATATTTATACTCATACATAATTCCTTAGTGATATTGACAACTTCTATAGTTATTGTTAAGAATATAGTGAATCTTTAAAATCAACAAAAATAGTCCCAGATTTTATTATCTGAAGGACAACTCATAAGTGGGCATAATTGGCTTGAAATTATTCTGGGTAGAAATAGAAAAAAATTAAATGACATTCAATATTTTATAAACTTCTCTTAGCTTTTATATTTTAGAAACCAGACTACAAAATGCAATATACAATCAGTCTTGATAATGCCTGCATTCTCCAAAGAGTCGCCTGGAGTAGAATATTTTTCTATCCTTCGTGTATTTTATTCTGCTATGATTAAAAAGAAGATGCTTAAACACTCATTAACATGGCAGCACTCACTATGAAGTATCCTTATTTAACAATTTATTTGTGAAAAAATAAAGCTATCTCAAACATCTTAATTTTAGAACAAAATTAATTGTTGCTATTTGGGTCTAGAAAATGCACTATGGCCATTGGAAATAGAAAAGATCCAATTTGGTCCTGTGTGCGACAATAATAAACAGTTCTTATTAATCTGAAGAGACAGGTTTGGGAAGTTAAATAACCAAGTCAACCCACAAGTTGCATTCAGACAGAGGCTTGGGGTTTTATCTTTTAACTTAAGAAAATTAAACGATGGGGCTCTTCCTCCAAACGGTTCAAAAATTAGAGCTGCAGCGTCTTCCAGACACAATGGGGCTTGTGCGTAGATGAATTCACAGATACAGTGGCAGCACACAGGAGCTGCGCAGGTCCGACCCAGATAAAATCCCAGCACTGAGTAGAGGAAGTACACATGGAGCCCCACCCCTAACCAAGAAGCTATTCACAATTGGTAGCTTCTGAGAGATGGAGGATTTGTTTCTTCAATGGCGTGACACTGGGTACATCAACCAGACTCTATGACAGTGCCTCATTGGCTCCGGAGAAGTTGGCCAACACAAAATGGACTTCATATTTTTGTTTGTTTATTTGTGCCTTTTTGTTGTTTTGGTTTTTTTGTTTGTTTGTTTTTGTTTTTTCGAGACAGGGTTTCTTTGTGTAGCTTTGCACCTTTCCTGGAACTCACTTGGTAGACCAGGCTGGCCTCAAACTCACAGAGATCTGCCTGCCTCTGCCTCCCGAGCGCTGGGATTAAAGGAGTGCGCCACCACCACCTTGCTTGTTTTGGTATTTTTAAGAGAAAGAACATATAGTTGGATGAATAGGGAGTGTGATGACCTAGGAGGAATTGGAATGGGGAATACGGTCAAAATATTGTATGAAAATTTTTATAAAGCAAAAGAAAAATAGGAAACATTAATGGAATTAAAAGATACCAAAAAATTGGAAAAGCTTCCCATTTTACAGATTGGAAGAATTAATATTATTAAAATACCTATACTACTCAAAGTGACTAACAGGTTAATGCAATCACCATCAAAATATCAATGACATTCACAGAAAAATTAAAAAAAAAAACTGAAATTCATATGAAAGCACAAAAGACCCCAAATAGACAAAGCAGCCTCAAACCTGATGAACAAAGCTAGATGTGACACAGTACCTGACTTCTGGAAACACAACAGAGCCATGGTACCCAAAACAGCGTGACACTTGGAAGCACAGTCCAATAAAACAAAAGAGGAACTTTAAAAACAAAACCACAAACCTATAGCTAACTGATGGAAGACAAAGAGAACTGGGTCCAATTGCCACCTCTGTCCGCTAATCTGTTAGACCCAGGGCTACTGCTGAATCCCTCTGGCTTGTTCTGGCATTAAGTAGGATGCAGATACTGATGATGGATTGGATTTACTATGGAGTTAAGATGCAATGCTAACTATGGAACAACAAGTAGTCACATTTGTATGTGACAGCCAGAGACCGTGAAGATGGCCCTGATACCAATGCAATGGAAAACACAAGG